GATTAAAATGTTGACTTCAGATGGTGATGTTCTTTGAAAATGAGGAAGAGAAATTGCAGCCAAAAAATGTAAGAAATCTAGCATGGTACGTAATACTACTCAAATGATTTCAAGTTTGGCCTTTTTCAGGCAATGTATTATTCAAGAGCCCAGGTGGAAAGAACTATGATGTGGCTGTAAACAAAAATTTTGGTGGTACCCTCATTTTCACATTAGTTGTAGTTCTCATGACAATCTACCCATATTTACATATTTGAAAGGAAATGGCAAGAAAACATGAGGGAGATTATTCTGGTTGAAAGGCTTTACAACTAAAATGGCACAAATATGCTATGTGCAAGCCTAGCTGAGAGGCTGGTTTTGGCTATAAAAACAAGAAGCCTATTTAACAGACTGCTCAGATAGAGGGGTAGGCATGGGCAAGCACAGCAGCACTGCACAAAGAGGATGCAGGGCCGAACCGGTCCTTAAAAAAAGCCAGGATTAACTGAAGATGCTGAACTTTTCTGGCCTGGTCTGGCACCTTAATTGTATCAATTTCTGGTGACACAAAAGTTCCCAACTTCTCCTGCAGCTGCTCACCGATGATTACACATATTCCTGGCTGCTAACTAGACAGTTGTTGATATACAATAGTTTGTTATTGGAGAAAGAACTAGTTTGGTAAGAAGAGCCATTAGATCGTTAATTCCTTAAGTATTGTAACTACTGGGTTATTCTGCTAATACAAATTGTCTCATGAACAGCATGTTTGAAAGAGAGGTTTTTTTGAGTATGAGCTAACTACTTTCCCTGCCTGGTGCATCCTTTATGTCCTTTCTTACATATGCTTTCAGAAAGATGCTTCTATTGGGCCTCCCCGGTGGCGCAGCAGTTGAGCACTGGGTTGAGCGCTGGGTTGAGCGCTGGGTTGCGAAGCTGCCCGCGGCCTCTGCGGCGCCAGTTCGATCCCCAGCTGCTCCCCGGCCACCAGAGGAGGGTCCCACATGGCGCGCAGACCTCTCCTGCCGCCCGCTGCTCCCCTCAGCAGTGTACTTTGGTCCTTCTGCCTGCTCTGCTCCCTGCTCTGGCTCTGGTGAATTCTCTCACCCTCCCGCGCTTCTGACTGTACCCAGTGCATGTATAAACAAAACAAACAAACAAACAAATAAAACATGCCTCTATAAAAAAAAAAAAAAGAAAGATGCTTCTATTAAGACAAAGGAAGCTAAATATTTCAGCAAATATTCAAGTTCCTAACGTGTGCTGGGCACAGAGTTCACAGTATTAACTTGAGCTGTGGCCTCAGAGCATTGGGCAGTTAATCCCAGAATAAACACTTCTGAGGTAAATTCTGCGTCATGCTCCTTTGTGAACTACCTTTCAGTAATACATTTCATTTCTAGTATTTTGAACAGGGCTTAAACTCAGAAACCACTAGTTTGATGTTTTCATTCTATGCTATCATGTCAGATTATCTTTGCGTTCTGCCACATATTGGGGTAGTCCTGGGGTAGTCTTCTTTGTTTGCAAGAGATTTAAGGAAGGAGTTACCAGTTGATTCGTTCTGACTCTACCAAAGCTAAAAGAAATCAAACCTTGTGTCCAAAGAAAATGCATGGAGCTGGTATTTTCTGGGGAGAAGATTAGCAATTTAGAGCTTGAATGCGTTAAGTCAGGTACTAAAAATCTAACTGGGTCACTGATATTTAAATTAAAAGATGATAGATTGGCAGTGATGGCACCCAAAATGGTAAAGTAAGAAGCTTTAAAGGTTGATATCTCCACCAAGTCAATCCTTGAGCTGGAAAAAGTGACTGAAATCAACTATTTGGAAATCTGGAGTGTGACTGGACAGAAAAATGTGACAAGCTGCTGATCTTTCCCATATGAGTGTTCGGCTCTAAGAGGTCCGTTCTGGCTCTCAACAAGCAACAATTAGCAATCCTTGAGGGGTGAGAGATTCAGATTGCCAGAATACTATATTACAGTGCTCAGGATGTACATTCCTCAAAAAAATTTACAAAACAGAAAATTTTGACCTGTTCACAGGAGAAAAAGGAAGCCCAGACAACAGAATTACTAGTCAAAGCCTAGATCAACTGTCTTATATGTGTTCAATTTGCTCCAGGAAATTGGGAAAATAATGTCTGAGCAAAATGAGAATATTGAGAAAGAGAAATGATAAAAAAGGAAACAAATACTAGAGACAAAAAGTACAATTATCTGAGGTGAAAAAATTATAAGAGGTTAACAGCAGCTGTGAAGCAGGCAGAAGATAAGCAAACTGAAGGTGAAATTATTGAACTGTTTAAGACTGAGGAACAGAAAGAGAATGAAGCAAAATGAATACAACCCAAGAGATCTATGGAATATCATCAAGCTTGCAAAAATACATTTCACAGGAGTCCTAGAAAGAAAATAAAGGAAGGGGAACAAAACATTTTTTGAAAATTTAATGATCCAAAACTTCCTATATCTGATAAATCTACACATCTGGGAAGCTCAGTGAACTCGAGGAAAATAAATTCAAATATCCACATCAAGATACAGTATACTCAAATTTTCAACGAACTTGAAAGCATCAAGAAAAACAATTTATAAACAAAAGATTAAATAAGATTTTAATAATTGACTTCTCATCAGAAATCATGGAGACAAGAAGGCAGTGGGATGACATATTTAAAGTCTTGAAATTAAAAAAAAACTATCAACAAGAGAGATTTCTGTATCCCAGAAGACTATCCTTCAAGAATGAAGGACAAATTAAGATATGTCGAGGTGGGGGGCCTCTCTGGTGAAGGGGTTAAGTCACATCACTATGAAGCTATCTGCAGCCACTGCAGCACGTCATGGCACAAGTTCAATCCCCTGCTGGCCAAGGAGCTGACCCACATGGCACAGCAGACCTCTCCTGTCTCGTCTTGCCCACTGCTCCCCTCAGCAGTGTATTTCAGTACATCTGCCTGTTCTGCTCCCAACTCTGTCTCTAGTGAATCCTCTCACCACCCACCACCTTGCACCTCTGGCCTGTACCCCAGCTCTTGTATGCATAAATAAATCTTAAAAAAAAATGTTAAAGGGAATTCTTCAGACTGAAATGAAAAGACACTGTTACTGGGCAAGATGAGAGGCACCCCAGGAACTCCAAATAGGTTCTGCTACTTTAAATAGGTTCTGCCATCTGCCACATAAAAATAAAACATACTCTAGTGCAATAAGACCTTTAATGAAAAGGAACCTTAATACAATTAGTGTGCAATAAGGGCACGAGAAGGGGACGGATAGATAAAATAGTTTCCAAATCAAGTACCCAAAGACTTCCATCTAAGGCACCTTCTGGTGGGGACCCCCTAGAAAAGGGGCATGAGGGATCAAACAAGTCTGGAAGTAATAGAGCAAAATCAAGATAAACACTGTCATTAACATCCTCATGGGTCTTTTGACCATGTCTGTTTCAAGTATCTACTTTTATGTCCCCCAAGTCCCTGGAGCAAATCCAAAGGCAGAGAAGCAAATGCAGTTTCTTCACATGTCTCTCTGCCCCATGTAGCCCCCTCTAGGTCTCCTTGCTCTCTCCTTTCTTCTTTCCTTCTCCAATCTCCACCTTCTCCTCCTCCCTGCTCAGCCCCACCCTCCCCTGAGTGAGGCAGGGAACCTGTGACCTCCCCTTTTCTTGGGGACAACCCTGTTACAACATTAGACAATAACTTGAAACCTAAGAAGAAATAAAAAAATTCACAATACACTGGAAAAGGTAACAATCTAGGTAAATAAAAAGCCAATATCATTGTTCTTTTGTTTTGTCTTTTCCTTATATGATTTAAAATTGGAACATGAAAGTTATAAATTTATCTTTTCTATTTTTTTATTCATTATTATTTTAAAGATGTATTTTATTTATTTATGCATATAAGAATTGGGGTATAGGCCAGAGGTGTGGGGAGTGGGAGGATTCACCTGAGAAAGTGGGGAGCAGAACAGACAGATCTGCTGAAATACACTGCTGAGGGGAGTAGTGGACTAGACAGGAGAGGTCTTGTTAGCTCCCTGGCTGGTGATAGCTTGATAGTGCTGAGACTGTAACACCTGTGCCCCCAGGGAGGCCCCTATAAATTTATCTTAACAGGTACAATGTGTATAAAATAAATGAGGAAGTGTTAGGGGGAAAGGTTGTCCTGAGCTAATTCCATATAGGCTTTGTGGACTCCACCCCCACTCCAGACCAAAGCCATCAAGACATTAGGAAAGACAGATCCCATCACCACCAAAGGGAAGGTTGCTGGGACCTGAGGGTGGAGTTAAGCAGCCGGGTTTGGTATAAAAACCAGACACGTGGGCCTTGGGGTCTCTCTCCTTTTGGCTTCAGGGCTCGTGGCTCGCAGCCAGCTCTCAGAGTGCCTTTGGGATTCCAGAGCAGCAGAAAGGGTAGGATGCATTTAAGACTTTATTTCCCTCTTTTCTCCCTGTGTTGTACACTTCCTCATTTCCCCTTCCCTGTAAATAAACCTTTTATTAACCTGTGTGCCTGCAGTGGAGTATTAATAAGTCCTTTTTAAGCACATGGGTGAGGACCCACAGTCAGGCAACCCATTTTATATCGGGGCTGCCCTGTCACAGAAGGACAGATAAAGAGGAGCAAATTGTATACAATCGAAATTAAATTTGTATTATTCAAACCAGTTACTGTAAGTTTAAGAGATGCTAATTTTAATCCTCTGGGTAAGGACTGGAAGGTTCAGTCCCTAGGCTCATCCTGACCACGATCATTGGTGGCCAAAACATAACATGTTCAAAGACTGTGCACAGAGTGCATCAGGGCTCCATGCCACGCCCCTAGAGGCCTCCTGGACATTCCTCAGACTTCCTGGGAACCCACACAGAAGCACCCTGCTAAGTAGCTGAAACCACAAATTCACCACCTAAATAAAAAATACCAAATCCTGGGAACTTGGAACTTTCCTCTTAAAGGCTCTATCTGTCCTCCACCCCATCTGTTCATGCAGGCCGTTATCACTTACCATAAATCCTCCTTCTGAACTTCCAAACATTGAGGTCCTCACCGAGCACCCCCAGAACCTTGAGTTGGCAGAAGATCTATGGTTTGTTATACTCAGGAAGCTCAGCTGCACAGTTAAGTGACCCTTAAGCTGAATTGGGGGCCACACCCATGCCACTTCTCTGATTCCCCACACAGGCTGACTGATGGGGCTTTAGATATGGTAAACTTTCAAGGGCCTCTCAGTCATAATTTACGGAGGACACAGCATCAAAAGTTCCCATTGGTCCTTCAGAAATTGTTACCTACAATGTTAGTGTAGGAGGGTAAGACACTGCCCTGCACTACAGTTCCTGGCAGTGCCCTTTAAAACCACATTTGTTATTGTTATGCATAGAAATTGTGATGCGTAGAAAGGGGAGTTTCCAGGTACCCTGCCCCACCCATGGAAGGGTGGAGCTGAGCAGGAATGAGAAGCTGAAGAGGAGGAGGTAGAAACAGACAGGAAAGAAAAAGACTGTAGGAAGCACATGGAGCAGAAAGACATGTGAAGAAGCCACCCTTGCTTCTTGGCCTTGGGACTTCCCCCAGGGACTTGGGGGACATGGAAAGAGACACTTGAAAGAGATGTGGGTGAGAGACCCATGGGGAGGCTGACAACAGCAGCCCTTATCTTGATTTGTACTTTGATTTTGCTTATTTCATCCCAGACTTGCCTGGCCCCTTCTGCCCTTTTCCTATAGGTCCACCCCCAAGAAGGTGCCTTAGACTTGTGGCAGGCTTTCAGGCCCAGTGGTCCTGCTCCTTGAGGGGATGGGTAATTTTGGGTGCTTGATTTGGAAATTATTTTAACTATATTCTTTCTCTTCTCTTTATTGCACACTAATTGTTGCACACTAATTGTATTAAAGTTCTTTTCTATTAAAGGTTCCACACATTAGAAAATGGTTTATCTTTATGTGGCAGTGAGACACAGGGCAAGCTAGGAATTAGACAGTTTTAGGGACACTGCAGGAGGGGACCTCTGAGAACTGAGGAAGGCTTCAGAGATAAGGGCAGCAAGAGGAGTGTAACTAATTCCACCTGGAAAAACAAACATCCCAGGACCAAGTGTTAGGGGAAAAGGATGTCCTAAAATAATCTCATACAGGCTTTGTAGACTCCACCCCCACTCCAAACTAAAGCCATCAGGACATTGGGAAAGACAAATCCCATCACCACCAAGGGGAGGGTGGCTGGGACCTGAGGGTGGAGTTGGGCAGCCAGGTTGGATATAAAAACCAAACACGTGGGCCTTGCTCGCTCTCTGGCTCGCGATCGCTCGCCTCCTGGCTTCACCGCTCCTGGCTGGCGGCCAGCTCTCAGAGCGCCATTTTGGGATTCCTGATCGGCGGATCGGGTAGGACTCATTTAAAACTTTGTCTCCCACTTTTCTCCCAGAGCTGTACATTTCCTCATTTCCCTTTCCCTTATAAATAAACCTTTTATTAACCTTTCACGTGTGCCTGCAGTAGAGCATTGATAAGTCCTTTTAAGCGCGCGGGTGAGGACCCACAGTCAGGCACCCCGTTTTGTATCGGGGTTGCTCTACAACACAAGGACAACATTGTTAACGTTGGCCTTGGTTTCCTTCCGGTGATAAAGGGAGGTAGAGATTGGGGAAATGGAGAGTGGTTTAATTTATGGACAACTTAGAAGGGCAGCTGTTTAACTTCTAAATAGCAAATTAAGTGAGACAGCCGAGAACTAAGCAATCACAAAGAGACTGGTGGAGTTTTAGAATAATGAGGGAAAAATGGTCAATATTCCCTGAGACACAACTCCACTTTGGCTTCCTGGCCTGGGAGTCCCCCTTTATTTTTGCTCTTTTTCTCCTCGATAAACTTTTTCTTTCTATAAACAAACCTGCCTCTTCTCGCTTGCTCGCCAGAGAGTCTGCCAAGTTCCTGCTGCGGCTTCGTGAGACACCAACCCGTGGGGGTCTAGTGGCTGGGGCTCAGCGCTGCCCTGCAGCCTGGGATCAGTTCCTGCCTGGGAGACTAGGCCTGACAATTCCGGTATCAGCAGATAGCAGAACCCATTCAAAGTGTGCAGGCTTGGGGGTCTGGGGCACCCCTCATTCTGCCCACCAACAGAATTACTGTGATAACTCTAAGTCATTTTTCCATTTAGTTATTCTGATTAATGCCAAGTACTACATTACTACATTCTTCTCAAACTGGGGCATGGATATCCTCGATTCTGCATGGGGAGGATGCAAACAGTGTGTCTCAAGTACGTCTTTTGGGGGCATCAATTTTACTGTGAGATTTGGAAGACCCCAGTGTGTTACAAGAACTTATCATCCTACCCCCACAAACAAGGAAGAAAAGCAATAAGGGGAGAAGTTTCCTCAGTCCTTTTAAGTTGCAAATGTAATCCATCCTTGGAATGTAAACACACAGAGAAAACCAAAACAATGCCCTAAAGGACTAAAGGGGAAAAAATGGGGCCTCCCCGGTGGCGCAGCGGTTGAGCACTGGGTTGCGAAGCTGCCCGCAGCCTCTGTGGCGCTAGTTCGATCCCCGGCTGCTCCCCGGCCACTGGAGGAGGGTCCCACATGGCGCGCAGACCTCTCCTGCCGCCCGCTGCTCCCCTCAGCAGTGTACTTCAGTCCTTCTGCCTGCTCTGCTCCCCGCTCTGGCTCTGGTGAATTCTCTCACCCTCCCGCGCTTCTGACTGTACCCAGTGAATGTATAAACAAAACAAACAAACAAATAAATAAATAAATAAAGCATGCCTCTATAAAAAAAAAACAAAAAACAAAAAAAAAACAAAAAACAAAAAAAAAATTTAAAGGGGAAAAAATGAATTAGAACCTTTTTCAAATGCAAACTGGGAGGTGAGGGTAAGAACAGAGAATGGGGGAGGGAAGTGCTTTGCTGGTAGGTGTGGTCTGTGAATCTCTTCCCCTAAATCACACAAGCATTGTAAGCCAACGTTACCTCAGAAAGTGAAATAAAATGTACACTGCTAGAGAATTTCCCATAACGTTTTTGTTTTCCTTAGGAATTAAGAATTCTGAAGGAAAATAGAATGTTTTCTGTATAAGAAAGGATGCAGGAGGTGGGTTTTCTTTTGATAAACATGGGGAAAATGAGTAATTTTGTTTCAGAACAGAAAATACAGGACAAAGACTGAAAGAATATAGTAATGATGGAGGACAAGAATAGAAAAACTGGAAAGGAGGCCTCTTAAGACTGAAACCTGACTCACACAGGGAGGTGGGGGTCGAGGGGAATAACATGACCATTAACCCAGCTGTAGAGGTCCGACCCTTAGGCGCCAGTGCCTTATCACAAGGCATGAGAACCAAGCAGGATCAGATGCTACAGGGAGTGGAGCAGAGGCCTGAGGGGAAAGATAGGGAGATTGGGCCCACCCTGGAATCTCTGGTCCCTTTCTAGTTTTGCCTGTTACCAAAAGGGCCACTCCACGGAGGAGTGACCCCTCCCAAAGAGAAAAGGACTATATCAGTGCAGTCTCTGCACAGGCTCAGGACAGCACTCCCACTGCCCACCTGTGATTATGCAGGTACCTCTTTTCACCAACTCTCTCCCTCTGCAGGGCAGCAGCTTCCTGCCTGCCCCTGACCTATCAAAGCCGCCTGTCTGCAACCATGCAGGCCTCTCTCAGCAAAATCTGTCCCTTTCCCTAATAAACCTGCTCTTTAAATATAACTAATGTCTCTGTCTCATGGAGAAACATGCCTGGGGAACTCGCCGTGTGCCGCTGAAATGGGAGCTCTGGTGAAACTGTTAGGGGGAAATGATGTCCTGAGCTAATCCCATACAGGCTTTGTGGACCCCACCCCCACTCCAGACTAAGGCCATCAAGACATTGGGAAAGACAAATCCCGTCACCACCAAAGGGAGGGTGGCTGGGACCTGAGGGTGGAGTTGGGCAGCCAGGTTGGATATAAAAACCAAACACATGGGCCTTGGGGTGGCTCGCTATCGCTCGCCTCCTGGCTTCACGGCTCCTGGCTCATGGCCAGCTCTCAGAGTGCCATTTTGGGATTCCTGATTGGCTGATCGGGTAGGAGTCATTTAAAACTTTGTCTCCCACTTTCTCCCTGAGCTGTACATTTCCTCATTTCCCCTTCCCTTGTAAATAAACCTTTTATTAACCTTTCGCGTGTGCCTGCAGTAGAGCATTGATAAGTCCTTTTAAGCGCGTGGGTGAGGACCCACAGTCAGGCACCCCGTTTTGTATCGGGGTTGCTCTACAACAAAACCTTTTCCAGAGTGAACCTGAGACAGGGCAAGCTAGGGTTATTAGGCAGTTTTAGGGATAGTGCAGGAGGGGACCTCTGAAGAAATCAGGAAGGCTTCAGAGATAAGGATAACCAAGGAAATGCAAACAATTCCACTGGGAAAAACAAACACCATTGTTAAACACTAGGGGAAAACAAACATCCTAGCACCACAGGTAATCTTGTTAAGGATGGTCCTGGTTTTCTTCAGATGATAAGATGAAGTGTAAAGATGCTCACCGGGAGGGCTAGACCATAAAGGTAGAGCGATAAGCATAACAGATGGGGAAAAAAAACACTGTTAAGGAATGTGAAATTCCTTGCTTAGTACCCTCTGGGAGTTAACCAATCAGGGAGAGAAAGAGTAAAATTTAAACATAATGAGGGAGAGAAAGTATATATTGCCAACATAATATCCCATACCGGCTCATCTTGGCCCCTCCCAGGTACTTGATACCTGGGAGTCTTTCTTCTTTGTCTCTTTTCTTCCTAAATAAACTTTTCTTTCAAAGACAAGATTTGTCTCTCTCTGCTTACTTACTCCAAAAGTCTGTGAATTCCTTTCTACGGTTTCGCGAGACAAGAACTCGTGGTAAAGCGGCAGCAGTTGTTACACACGCCGGCATCAAACCCAAGGACCCTCACACACTCTATGACCTACATCAGTAAGTCATATTAATTTTTTTTTAAGAATTTATTTATACATCCAAGAACTGGGGTATAGGCCAGAGGTATGTGTGGGGGTGGTGGTAGGAGGATTCACCAGAGACAGAGTGGGGAACAGAACAGACAGATCTACTGAAATACACTGCTGAGGGGAGCAGCCGGCGAGACAGGAGAGGTCTGCGGCGCCAAGTGGGTCAGCTACCTGGCCAGATAGAACTCGTGGTGCAGTGGCTGCGGACAGCTTCATTGTGCTGAGATTTAACCCCATGCACCATCAGAGAGGCCCCTTATTAAGTTCTTTTAACTTAACAAAGGTTTAGGGGCCTCCCTGGTGGCATAAGAGGTTAAGTCTCAGCACTATGAAGCTATCTGCAGCAAGAGTT